CAGATTCAAGGAGATAACAGGTAGGGAATATGATAGGCTCCAACTGAAGAATAAATGGGACCAGCTTAAGAAAGATTGGAAACTGTGGAATGATTTGAAGCGTGGCTCCACTGGATTAGGATGAGATCCGGTGAATAGAACAATTGAGGTGTCAGAGGAGTGGTGGCAAGAAAGGCTTGCGGTAAGGTATTATTGAGTAATTCTTTTTAATTTTAATAAGTTTTATTTTTGATTTCTAATAACCTTTCATTCTCTTTTACAGATTGTTCATGCGGCAAAGAAGTTCAGATTAGCTGGGATTGAACCAGAATTGGAGGGCAAGTTCCAGACGATGTTTGGTGGGGTGGTCGCTACAGGGAAATATTCAGCTGCCCCGAGTCAAACAATTTTCGAAACAACCCCCGAGAATGTCGCCGTAGAATTGTCAAATGATTCTGCAGAATTCCGCAGTGTTGAGCCACCTGAAATTCAATCCACCAACCGTGCGAAGCGCCCCCGGAACGAACGTAAGAGAAAGAGTGGACCTGCATCTATGAGGGAGCAGCTCTCATACCTAGTCGACTCATCTAACGATGCCCCTCACAGAGTTCAAAAAACCTCGGTTCATGAGGTCATTAGTCTTCTTGAGGAAGATGCAGAATTTACAGGGGATCGTGATCTTTTTTACTTTGCAGTAGACCTCTTTCGTGATTCCCTCCACCGAGACTTCTTCAGAAGTGAGGTCAACAAGCGACGATTGGAATACATACGCTATTATTATAACCGTCGTGACCTGTGAAGTTTAGTTCATCAGTAGTTCACATTGTCTTTGTTTATTATTTGGAAACTAGAGTGTTGCACTTTCTTTCATCTATGATATTCCTGTTAGTACACTTCTTCATTTGTGGTTGTTATTTTTTTTTTATCAAACTGATATGAATTTCATTCCAGATGATTGTTTAATCCTTGTTTTCCCAATTAAAGTTCATATGCTTGTTTCTCTTATTCCATCTATGAGCTTAACTGTGTTTGAAAGTGTAAAATATAGTTCATACCATCATGGACCCAGAGGAAGTCCGACGTGGACGTCGAAATGCAGCAATAAATATACTGGTGCACTACTATAACACGCATGTGGACCGTGAGCCCTGTTACACATCATCTCAGATTGGAGACAAATGGATGGGAGAAATGATTTCAGGACATCCAGCGAGATTTCAAAACATATTCCGCATGTCCCAGCGTGTTTTCAGTGATCTGTTATTAGATCTGCGAACATCTCATGGGCTTCACGGATCTTCAAGGACAACAGACCGTGAAGTATTGGGCATAACACTTTACATTTTATCACAGAACGAGTCAATGCGGGGAGCCATGGAACGATTCCAACACTCATCGGAAACAATAAGCAGGTACTTCTCAGTGGGTTTGACTTCCCTCGTCAGTTTAGCGCAAGCTATAATAAAACCCGAAGATCCAACGTTTGCCAGAACGCCAGCACAGATTCGCAACGATGCCCGATACATGCCACATTTCAAGGTACACGTTCATAATTTAAATCAGTATTAATGTGTTGCATATTGAAATGATTTAACTTTATTTTTGAAGGGTTGCATCGGCGCAATCGATGGAACGCATGTTCATGCCAGGGTACCGGAAAACGAGAAAGTTGCATTTATCGGCCGTTCCGGGAGCACAACGCAAAATATCATGGCCGTTTGTGATTTCAACATGTGTTTCACATTTGCAATGGCTGGATGGGAGGGCAGCGCACATGATAGTAGAATCTTCAAAATTGCAACGAGAAATCCGGAGTACAATTTTCCTCACCCACCACAGGGTTAGTACCTTACTAATACGAGTAGATTAATTTTTTGTGTGCTCCCCTAAAGTTTTTAATTTTTCAGGGAAGTACTATTTGGTCGATGCTGGCTACCCAATGCAGAGGGGGTACCTTAAACCCTATCCGGACACAAGGTATCATCTTCCAGATTTTCAGAGAGCCAGCAATCGTACGAGAAACAGAAAAGAGGTCTTTAATAGAAGACATTCATCCTTACGAGGCGTCATTGAGAGGACTTTTGGAGTTTGGAAGAAGAAATGGGTAATACTACGAGATATGCCACCTTATCCATTTCCAAAACAGGTGCAGGTAGTGTTAGCCACTATGGCCCTCACTAACTATATTCGACGGCATCCAACTCGAGCTGATGTTGACTTCGAGCGTGTTGAGGTCAATGATGACGAAGTACCTGTCGAACCCTATGAATACCGCATTGGTCAATCTCTACCAACAGAGGAGAACGACAATGCTTCAATTTGCACGAAAGATGGAGAAGGTGCGAGTGAAATGAAAGCCCTTCGTGAGGAGATTACTGTCTCATTAGTTGGAGACTGATTACTTCGATTCAGATCTGCTGCAAACACAATTTGTGAAGGGGTTTGCGTTTTTTATTTCGGTTTATATATTTCAATTTTGATGATAGCCTTTTTCATTACCTAATATGGTAATAATTATGTTTTATACTGCATTGTTTTTCAGGAAAAAATGACTTCCAGGATGTCTGCTACCCCCCGACGAGTGCTTTGTCATTGTGGCCTGCAAACCACACTTTTGACCTCACGGCAGGCACATAGCTACGGTCGGAAGTTTTATACATGCCCCCGAAGCATTGCCGATCAATGCA